CAAACCAGTGCCAGGCTGCAAACTGCTGGCTGCCAGGCCATGATGACTGCTCAAGGTCTGGCAGGTTGGCTATGGCAGCTGTGGTGGCAGAGGCAGGGGTGGGGGGCAGGGGCAGGAGGCACCTCCCTTCCTCCTCACCCATCTGTGATTACGGAGATGCACTTGGGGAGGGAGGAGGTGTGGAGGAGGATGTGATCGTGCCACCTAGAGCTGCTTTTCCTGCCTATGTGGCTGATTTTGCTGAGGCAGCAGCAGGAGGAGATAGAGTAGAAGGTGCTTCCCTCCCTCCTTATCCCCTCAGTAATAGTGGCTGGCTGGGGTTCCACACCCCCCCCTTCTAACCATGAGGGGGCGCAAGACATGCTTGAGGTGGGAGAGTGCACACCACCAACAGCTGTTCCCTTGCCTGCACAGCAATGATGATCACGCTTCTTAGGGAGGCAGCCTTGCTCTGGGGAGTGCAGGGATGAGATGCGGGCAAAGGGTGTTGGATGAGGGCTGGTGGGGTCACTGGACAAGAGGATATTGCATGGGCTGTAGGAGTCAGGTTAAAGGGTCACAGGGCATGGAGCATAGAGTAGGGGGGTCAAAGGATGTTAGGCACTGGGGATCAAGGAGCTGGGTTGGGACTAGGTAAATAGGTATTTGCATCTTTGAATATTCATTTGCATAATGAATGTGCAAATATGCAAATAAAATGTTACCAGTCCACCAAAAGTTTGTGAATGGGTTTGTTGGTCTGTGGCATAAAAAAGGTTGGGAACCACTGCTGTAGAATCATACTGTCATATAGCAGCCTTTCTTGTAAATGATACTAATCACTTAATGAACTGTTCCAGCTCTTTCTTGAACAGCTTTCAGTCATGGGTTCATTAATTAGCTAGGAGTGGGTATAAACTGTTCTTACCTCTGTCTTTCTGCCAAGTATGACTCATTGCCACAGCCGCACCTAGCATATGCCCAACTCTCTGAAATGGACTGTGATAAATTCCCATTGCCTTTACGTGGTAATGCAGGGCCATTCTGATTATTTAACTATCCACCTTCATGAGTAATAAATGCTGCTTATGTCTTTTTGCTACAGAGTTTAATTGGAGGAAAAGCCCTTCGCTTGACCCTTTGAGTGTTTGCTGTTTGGTTTTTTTTAATGTTGTGTGTACTAGATTGGGGGTGTGTGTGTGTGTGTGAGAGAGAGAGAGAGAGAGAGATTTGGAGGGGGATATAAGTACCAAATTGTTTGTTAAAAGGTAGACTAAGGGTGTGTGTACACAGCAGGATTTAACTCGAAATAAGCTATGGAAATAAGCGTTGCATCACTTATTTTGAGTTTTGGTGCTGTCTACACAGCACTTATTCCAAAATAGAGCATTCTTCCTCCGACTTCCCTTACTCTTCATAAAACAAGGGTTACAGGAGTTGAAGTAAGAAGTCCTCCAGTTTGACAGTATTTTAACATTATGTCAAAATAACTGCCAGCTGTGTAGGCGCGGACTGTGTTATTTCGAAATAATGTTAGTTATGGCAAAACAGTGGAGTTTAACATGGCTACACAGTGCTTTGCCATAAATTGTGCCCCAAAAGTGATAATTTCCTTGCTTTCAGAGCTGTGACTTGTGGTCCCTGGGTGTCATTATTTATGTGATGCTGTGCGGATACCCTCCTTTTTACTCCAAACACCACAGTCGGACAATTCCAAAAGACATGCGGAAAAAGATCATGACAGGAAGTTTTGAGTTTCCAGAGGAAGAATGGAGCCAGATCTCAGAAATGGCAAAAGACATTGTGAGAAAGTGAGTCAGTTGAGGAAAATGTTATATTACTCTTTATTATTTATATCAAGAAATTAGAAAATCACTTAATATTTTGTCACTAAAGGCTCCATTTTCAAAAGGAAAAAATTGTCTGCTGTGTATAAAGCTGGAACATTGTTCATGCTGAATATGAAAAACAAAGGTTGGTAAATGTTTTCCCTTGTTTCTCTTTTTCTAAACCACTGTCTTCAAATTTTAACAGCTCCTACCCTTAAAATAGTTAGAGGTTGCATGGAGATTTTCCCTTTTACAGGAGTAATATGGCTAAATCCTCATGCAACACTTTTGGAAAAGTATAGCTCTTAGTGCCTAGTGCATGTCTATTTAGTCTAAAAGGAGAAGCTGCTCAGAAAAGAAAGCACTTAAGTACAGGGCAAAAAAATTTCTGATATGTATTTTATCAAAGGGACGCTGTCAGGGTCACATTCTGCCTAAAATTTGAGCAATAAAATCTGTTTATGCCTAAGATCCCAAAATAAGTATTTCCGTAGGTTTTTTTTTTAAAGAAGTAGTGAAAGCTAGTTAAATAAATATTCCCTGAAATGATTGCAACTCAAACATTGTAGTCCTCTGGTATTGAATGACAACCAGAAAATGGAACTGATCAGAATCCAACTGCATTTTTTAAAGTGCAACTGGCTAGTTCCATCTTCACTGTTTAGTCAGATAAATTTAAAAAAACCATAAATAGTAAAAATCAAAATCAGTTTAATGTTTTAACCTGACATTGTCACCAGACACTAAAGCACTGTAAAAACTCCTGGAACTTAAAGCCATGGCATATTTTTGTCAATATCAGACAAACCTATTTATAGTGGTATAGAGAGAGTCCAGATTTGTTTTGACATACTAATTGCAGTTATGATTCTACTGAAACCATTGAGAATGAAATCAGTTTTTTCTATACTACAGCTTTACTCTAAGACCATTCCACTGCATTTCAAAATGGCCATAATTTGGATTCCACAGATTGTCCAAATTAGTGACACAGTCAGTTTTCTTTCATTCTCTTTAATAAACTATCGGAACACCTTTTCCTTCCAGGAAATATGTCAAACCCTGTATCTATGGCTTGACATGCAATAAGATATTTGCCTGTATAGGGATCCTCTTGGTTGAGAGAGGTTCTTAGTCTGTATGTGTGCTGTTTGCTTATTTAAAAAAAAAACAAAACAGATTGTTATTCACATGAGCCTTTGCTCTGAAAGTCACATTCTGCCTCCAAGTGGCTGCTTGCGTCGTAGCATGTTTTAGCTGATTTGTGGCCTTAATCTTTACATGTGACTAAGTATATAAATTATCCCTTTTAAATCTAAAGTTAAAAATCCATATGGCTTAGGGCATTGAATCAAATCTGAAATGTAGGTCTGTTTGCCATCTATGTCTTGCATCTAAATCTACTGACTAGCCTGGGGTACTGCTGACACAGTTGTGAAAGTCCCCTACTTTTTCTTTCAAAATAGAACAATTCTGCTGTACAAGCAGATAATCAGTTTACAGTATAGTAGTGCAAGCAAGTTAATTGTGGCTTAATTTTACCTTATTGTTTTGTCGATTTCCAACTTAACCACTAATCTTTGATGATCAGTAACACCAATAATGTATCAGCCATAATACTGACAACTTATTTTTTATTAAACTGTTGTGCTTAATAGTGTGAGATTTAATTTACCCGCAGAATCTCTTCCAGACTGCTCTTTCTAGCAAATGTATATTGATTTTGTCTTTCTCTCCCTAACAA